GGCAGGAGGTGGGTAGTGGGTGAGGGTCTGGGGCAGCTCAGCCCCTACCCCAATCCTGTGACCCACCCCCAACCCTGAGGCTGGGTCACCCAACCTCAGGTGGAGTGGGCTTCCTGGACACGAGAAAGAGAGGGGTCCGGGCCACGAGACGGGCAGGCAAAGAAATGCCTCCTTTGGCTGGGGGGCTGCAGTGAGTGCAGCCAAAGAGCCCTGAAGGGTGGCGAGCATGCCAAAGGGAGAAAGGTGACAACCACTGGGACTAAGTCAGCTGGTGGGAAGGGCCCAGGGGTGGAGACTGGTGAGCTGCGGCAAAGAGCCTGTGCTCTGAACACTGGGAGCCCTGAGCCAGCCAAGAACATCTTTCACCTGCTCAGCACGGAGAAGACGGGGTTACTGGGTCAGAGGCCTGGGGCCCAGGAGTGCCCAGCATCTACGGGCGCTGGGCCATGCTCCCCCTCCCCGGGGGATGCTCCCTCTACTCTAGGGAGTAGACCAAGGATCCCGCTCCATCAGAACGAGGCTTCTGGGGCCTGGACCCTCAGCAGAGTGGACACAGAAGGGCCCTGGGCTCCCATCTCATGAAGAGGGAGGGAGCTGCCTGCCCAGATGTGCTTCTCGTGATTCCTATGAGGATGAATCGCCCCCCAGGCTGAGGGGAGCAAGGGCCCAGGCCACAAAGCCCAGCTGGAACCCAGGTCTTCTGACTAGAACATATGTGCTCTTCCCATGGAAATATGGCTAAATGCCCCCGGCTGCCCATTAACAAACACTGTGCCCCCGCTGAGCAGGGCATATTCCAGGACGATGAGTGACCAGGATGGAAGCAGGCAAGCTCTCGGAGGGCGGCCCTGGGCGGGCAGGTGCTCTGGGCTCTCCCACCCAGGGGGGCCCAGACTGGGCAGGGAGAGTGGTGGCACTGTGGTGGGGTGGTGACGAGGAAGGAGATGGGGGACACAGAGAAGGAACAGGGAGAGGAGCATGCTGGTGACAGCAACCAGAAATGACGTGCAGGACAGACGTGCAGACGGAGAGAACCTACCGTAAGGGCCGTACGTTGGCACTGCCCGCGGCCAAAAAAAAAGCAGGGCAAGGGGGGAGGGGTGGGGGAGAGAAGCCAGAGAAACAGAGAAGAGACAGCTGAGTGAGCAACATCCACCCACCCAGGCCCCACAAGGCAACCACAGACACCCTTCCCTCTTCCCCTGGCCCACCCAGCACCCAGGTGACTCCAGCTGTCCCCTGGGGCCTTGGGGGGAAATGTGGGCCTAGAGATGACTTCTGTGGTCTCACACTTTCTTTTCAGGGAGGGTGGACAGGAAAGAATAAACAGTGGACACCTCGACTGATGGGTTACGTTCAGCCACAGTGTCTAAGTCAGACCTCCTCCCCGACTCCCTTCTCAGGCCTGGCTGGGGCTGGCAGGCCTGTGCTCCACGCTCCACAAACCAGCCCTGGCTGCACTTCACAGATGAGAAGACAGAGGCTCAGAGCAGGAAGAGTTACTGGGCAGACCACAAAGCTACTGAGGCACAGGGCTGGCTATGAACCCAAGCCTCGCTTGGGGGCTAAGGAGGGCTAGGCACCTTGGTTACAGGGCGGGTACCGGCTGGGAGGCGGGCGAGACAAAGAGCAGCTTTGGCTTCAGCTTCCCTGGCGGCCAGGCTGGGTCCCTGCTAGGGTGCTGGAGCTGCCTTTCAGCCACAATTTTTCTTGCTGGGTGTGTGTGTGGGGGAGTGGGGGTTAGTGCGTGGAAAGGCCACCTAGGCCAGATAGCTGAGAGCCTCTGCAGAGCCACCAGGGGTGCAGAGATGGGTCTCTGCCATGGCCCTGCCTGCTCCTTGGGGTGGCCCCCAGGCTCCAGGGGCAAGGGTGGACTTTTCCAAGGACACAGGCTCTGCCAGGACCAGGTGTAGGGGACACTGGATCCCTCCTTCAAACAGGGGGAAGGGAAGGGGGCTGGAGAGCAGCAGGAGGCTGTGGCAAGCCCCAGCCAGCATAGCATCTGGCACAGAGTAGGTATGCCATGAAGAAATGAAAAATGACCTATGGCCCCAGCCAGCAAGTGTGTTAGAACACAGGCATGTGGGCACTGAGAGGTCTGGAGTACAGTTCAGTCCACTTACCCCCTCAGCCCGAGAGGAGGACGGAGAGGGCTGAAGAGCCCTGCTGCAGGCCGGATGACAGGGCTTCTACTCTGCTTAGTGTTCCAGTTACGAGGCCTGGGAACGTGGGTTTCCAGCCACTCAGCAGGCTTCCCTTCCCTAGTCCCTCACGCCTCCTCACTGGGCGTCCCTGCCTCCTCCGGGAGAAGGAGGTGCCCAGCAGCCACCGTTGCAGCCCTCCTGGCCCACTGCTGCTCCTCTGAAGGCTGCACATGAGAATCCTCCAGAATCCCCAGGGAGCTTTCAAAGCACACCCCACCTACCCAACCCAGCCCAGTTCCATCAGCAGGTCTGAGGCCAGCGCCCAGACAAAGGCATTTTGAAAAGTTCTCTGGGGCATTCTTGTACAACCAGGGTTGATAACCACTGTTCTAACATGAAGGAAGATTACCAGGTGTAAAAAGAAAGCTATTAAAAGCTAGTACCATCTGAGGCTGTTTCTCAGAAGTAATCAGGTTTTTTTTTTTTTAAAAAAAAAAAAGGAGCAAGATTTAAAGAAGAGGAAATGGTAGGTGACAGTGGGCAACCATGGGTGTCAGGAACCCTCAGGAACTTGTCTATTCATTACGGTCTCTGCCTCGACCTTCACAAGACAATCTGTCCTGTGTCATCTCAGGGTTTCCAGACTCCAGACCAGCTGTAAGTCATGACAGGCGGGTGGGCTCAGCTTCCAGGCCTGAATTCGTGGTGCTGGCAGCAAGGGAGGGGGCACTCTAACACAAAGAGAGACAGTGGAATCCAGGCTAGGGACCCATCTTGGCCCTGCCATGTCCACTATGTCTCCACATTTGTGGTCTGTTTATCACATGTAAACTGGGGATCACGTGAGCTGACCCCATTCACACCTGCAGGCCCTTGGGAGGCAGGAGGACCTGGGGCAGGGCCAGGGGAGTGGGTAATCTGCAGCCTCTGCAGCTCCTCTGGGGATCAGCTCGCCAGAACCCTGGTTCATACCTTGCGCATCCAGCCTCTTGTCAGCATAGACCTTATAGGTAAAGGCGTGCCGCAGGGCCAGCGCTGCAAAGAACATCTCCACACAGATGATGAAGTCCTGGTAGCCAGCAGCCACAGTGCCCTCACCCACTGACACGCGGGCCGAGTGGATCTTGGGGATGGCACCACACTTCTCCAGGATGGCCAGGAGCATACCTGGAGGGAGGCATGGGCATCTGGCCCCAGACTGGACCCCGTTCCCAGGCCTCCTCCCTCCACGCAGCCCCCTCAAATGCCCACCCACCCCAGTGAGGATGGACGCAGGGTCCACGTTTATTCCCAAATGACAGGTAACACCGATGCAAAGCCAGGCCTCCAGGAGACCCCACGCCCCAGCTCCTTGTCCAGCCACCAAAACAGAGGTGTCATCAATTCTGTGGGGTCCCGGGGACCCCAGCCCACCCACGAAGTGGCCCCATGGGATGCTTCCCTATAGCCCATGTGAAGCCCCTAAGGGCTAAGCCTTTGCATTGAGCAGGTACTCAGTGAACCGAGGCCCCTTTGAGCTCCAGGCCAGCCATCATCCAGGGCTGCCAGCACGGCCTGGGAGCATGGCCACCAGGGATGGTGAGACGGAAGAAGGGGAGGAGGCGTGGAGGACAGCGCAGCACAGGGGAGGCTGGGCGGAGACTCACCTTGCCAGAAGGAGAGAAAGATGACGGACTTGACCATGAAGAACTTGAGGACGGGGCTGTAGGGGCTAAGCAGCTCCCGGGTGGCGAAGTAGAAGAGGAAGAGGGCATACAGGGCCAGGCTGACTGAGATGTTGTAGATGATGGTCACGTAGAGGTAGCCACTGGTGACGCTGTGGGAATGGGGGCATGCTCTGGCTTGGATGGAGGGGCAGGGACCTCCTTCCTTTGCCCTGCCATATGCCCACCCTCCACACTCTCAGTAGCTCTCTTCAAGCAGTGCTCAGCAAACTAGGAGGGGGGTGGCTGATCATGGCATGGAAGCAGTCGGAATATTGGGCTTGGAGGTGCAAGGGTGTGGGCAGTGCAGTCCCAGCCCCACTGCCTCACAGATGTGTTTAAGCCACCAACTGCAGCTCTGGTGCCCATGCTCCTGGTGGGGGATGGGGGCTCCTTGTGTGGGACGTGGGCTCCTGGTGGGGGACGTGGGCTCCTAGTGGGAGACATGGGCTCCCGGTGGGGGGTGGGGGCTCCTGGTGGGGGACAGGGGCTCCTGGTGTGGGACGGGGGTTCCTGGTAGGGGGTGTGGGCTCCTGGTGGCAGGTGGGGGGCTCCTGATGGGGAACAGGGGCTCCTAGTGGGGGACAAGGGTTTCTGGTGGGGGACAGGGGCTATTGGTGGGGGACGTGGACTCCTGGTAGTAGACAGAGGCTCCTGGGAGGAGATGTGGGTTCCTGGGGGGAACATGGGCATGGAAGCTAGGGCTGTACTAAAGGTCTAGGGTGGGGGGCACAGCCTGGTGGCCAGAAGACAGCATCAAAGAGAGTGACACTGAGCTTGGCTCTGCTACTTTATCACTTGAGTCAAGCTATGTCCCCTCTCTGAGCCTCAGGTCCCTCACCTGCCTTGACAAAGCTGCTAGGTGGGGTCTAGGAAGTGTGACAAAGGGCTTGCAAGCATGGGGTTTGAAACGAAGGCCCTGGGCACATGGTAATGCTCACTATCTCCAAATGAAATATGTGTGGACAATTTAAAGGGAGGGTCCATAGTGGGGACTCAAGACCGGCCCCCTGCCTTGGAAGTGGTCACTGTCCCTTCTTCTGCAGCCTGTCTGTGCAGGTGACTGGTGCTACGGGCTGCCAGGCTTGGCGCAGGGAGGCGTGGGAAGGGCCAGGGGCCATGCTCAGCCTCCACTAACAGGGAGTCGTGGATATGAGCCAGTCTGCAGCCCCCCTTTGCTGAGCGAGGCCATTAGCCTCTGGGCAGGGCCACCCACCCCTGCACCAACACTAGTCCCCACACCCGAAGCCAGCACCCGATGCTTACTCAAAGTCACCATCCCGGTACTTGCCGAAGGCCTGCAGGACCACGGTGCTGACGGCCATGAGCGGCTTCACCACACAGAACTGCAGAGTGGCCTGTTCGGGAAAGGAGGAGATGACGGTCAAGAGTCGAGGGTGAGCACAGAAATGCGCAACCAGCCCCCCTCTGCCAGCTGGGTGCACGAGGTGCCGGGGGTCAGAGGGAAAGGCCCAACATCCCTGCGCCTGGGGACCCTATCTGGAGGGGAGGGCAGAATGTGTGAGACAATGACAGCACAGCGCAGTCGCGAGAAGACGAGGGGATGTTTACGGAAGGACGGTAGACAAGGTAGGGAGACAGGAGGTCTCATCAGAGAAGACCTGGATCTGCCAGAGAGACAACAGGGGGCTGCATCTACTCCAGGCAGAGTGAACAGCCCACACAAAGGCCCAGAGATTGAGAGCCCAGGGCAGACAAGGGCAAGGGGCAGCAGGGATGGTGGGGGAGGTAGGCAGGGCCAGCTTATGGAGGCCTTGATGCTTGAGGCATGGCCAGGCTCCTGCTCAAAGAGCTGGCCACAAGGGGCACGGGTAGGGCGGGGGTGGGGGGGGGCAAGGGCCTCGGCCTCTCACCCTCCTCACCACTGCCCTGCTCTGACCCTTTGCCCTGTGCTCTGGGTTCAGAGCAGGGATTTCACTGGGCATGGTGATGACCTGGGTGGGAGAGGGAAGCAGCCAAAGCACATGGACTCTGCAGTCCTGGGATCTGAGTTCGAATTCCAGCCTCGCCAATTCCTGGCTGCAGGAGCATGAGTGAGCACCACCTAACCCGAGCGGTGGCCTCGCTGGTAAGATGGCCATAGCCAGCACCGTGTCACAGGATCGCTGCTGTGGGGACCAAAGGCGAGCGAGCATGGGGTCTTCTGGGTGATCTCTCACCTCTGCCCAGTCTATTAAGACCTCCGCAAGCTTGCTCAGACACTGAGCCCAGATTTTACAAAACCCTACAGCGGCCCCAGTAAACTCAAGGGCTCTCGGTGCCCATACAATCACTAAATCACCATTCTCTTGAAAACAAAGAAACCTAAGCTAGTGTGACTAGAAATAGGGCAATGACTCCAAGGCAGAGAAAGTAGCCTGTTGAACCTTCAAGTTTTGGCCCTGATTGGGGATCTGCGAGGTTTGCAGGGGAAGTCCTGCACTGTGGGGCTGCCACAAGGAGAAGCACATGCGATGGGGCTAGAGGTGGAGTGCCTCTGCCCAAACCTCACAAACCCTCCCTGGCCCCATCACCCCTCTAAAGGAAGTGGGACCGGCACCCTTTGGGGAAAAGGAAAGTGGGCTGGAATCAACAGAGGCCGTCTGGACAAGTCTCTGATTTTCTCCAATTTTCCTGGGATAAGAAAAATAGGGGCAGCAGCTTGCCTTTAGCAGACCCTGCGTGCCTGGCAGTAGGCTGTCAGTACTATTATTATCCCCATGTTACAGATGGGGAAATTGAGGCCAAGAAGTAAAGTGGCAAAGGCAGCACTGGCACCCGCTGCTTCCCATATCGGGTCTGAAGCTAATCAGTACTGGAGAATCACCCAGAAAGCTACCAGGTCCCAGGGCTCTGGTCCAAACCTTCTAAACCAGGTGGGCGCAGGGCGGGGCTGGCTGACCCGGGAATCTACTTTTAATGTGCTCCCCAGGAGAGGCAGGTGTTGGGTGGTGGCTGGACAGTTTCTAAGGCCCATTTCTACGCCTCTGGAATGAGGCTGTCGGGCATTCTCTTTCACCGTGTCACCAGGAACGGAATGAAGTAGCTTCTTTGTTCCCTTTCCTCTTACTGCCACTCCCTGTCACCTCTAGGAACAACAGCAGAACATCTGAGCCCACAGGGCTGGGGGAATAATCTACAGCAAGGCTGTGCTAGAGCTAGCAATCATGAGATCAAAACTCTGTACACAATATAGTCATCAAACAAGGTAGTGAGTCACAGTGGGGCCAGGAACCCAGGCGGCTGAACCAATGGGTAAACAATGGCTCTGAGTGCCCCACCCTGGGCCCAGGACAGCTTTAACTCTTTCCCTGCAGTTCCGGAGGTGAGATTTGGACTGTAAACACCCCAGGGAAGAAAGAGCTGGAAGTAGGGCTGCAGGCCTGGTGTGTCCAGGCCAGAGCTCTGTGAGTGTCTGCCTGGCACAGAGAGACGGCCACGGGCCGAAAGGCCAGCCCCGACTTGGCTATGGCTTTCATGTCCCCTCATGACTACTTTTGGTGGTGCTGGAGGGGCTGACAGAGGTCCTGTGGGAGACCCAGCAGAGGTTAAAGTGAGGTCATGCAGGCTGGGTGTGGCACCCTCAGCTGCTACTTCCCTGAACCAGATACACTGGGTGCCATGCCAGCTGCTGTGTTAAATGCTTCCCATACAGTACCTCCTCTGGGCCTTACAACCATCCCATGAGAGAAGCATCATTATGCCTATATTACAGAAGAGGAAACTAAGGCTCAGAGAGATTAAGTAACTAATCCAAGGATACACAGTTAGAGGAGAAGCTGGAAATCAAGCTCAGATGATAAGACATCCAGACCCATCACTTACTGGCAGCACCACACTGCCTCCACCCAGGCTAATCTAGATCACAAGGCGGAGCAACCGAGGAAGCCTGAAGCTGCTGGACTGTCAACTGGGAAGGGGCAAGAGACCAGAGAAACTGCACAGGCCTGTTTTGTCATGTGTCTTTAATGCAGAAGGCCCCTCTGCCCTCCAGCCACAGGTGAAGAAGTTTTCAAACTGAGGTTCCAGAACCCCTACACACTCCCTCTGATTCGCTCACACACTTGGGAGATGGAGCAAGAGTCTGGACCAGTTCCTCCTGCCCAAGGCTGCATCAGACACTCCTGGGACGCCGCCACTGCCCCTCTGAGTACACCCTGCTAACGCGACCACAACCCTAACAGCTTCGGGAGTGGGTACGAGGCCTGGGATGCCCTGTGCTAAGTGGGAACTCCACAGGATGGGCCCTGGGCCATCCTACAGTGGATCCTCCTGGCCCCACATGCCTTCATTGCCATCCCATCAATCAGAGGCAGCACAGCCCCGCAGCTGCTGCCCGAGGACACAGACCCAGGCCCCAGGTCCTAGCCTCTGAATGCAGCAGATGCTGGGGGTGCGCACCTGCTTACAGAACCGCAGGAATCCGATGGAGTAAGTCTTTCCCCAGAGGCAGCACGTACCATACATACAGCTGGACCTGGAAGAAACAGGGACAGAGACAAGGCTGGTGAGCAGAGAGAAAACCAGAACTCACAAAAGGTGGGGCTGAGGAGGGCCGTCCTCCCCATGTCCAGGCAGGCTGGGGTGGGGTAGGGGCACACATCTGGGGCAGCCTCAGCCCAATGCCAACCTCAGGGAGAGACCTAGGGAAGTGTTTGCACACGTAGTAGGTAGGGAAGCTGGGCTGCACTGGCCCTGGCTAACAAACCAGCTCAGAAGGGACTGGATGTAAAAACCGCAGGAAGGAGAAACGGACAGAAACGGGAAAGGCCTGAGGCAAGTACAAAGAGAAAAAAGGAAAAAGGAAAAGCTGGAGAGGGCCTCCCCAGGGTTCAGATGAATGGCGTTGCTCAGGAAGAGGCATAGCAGGTCAAGGTCACAGGCAAGAGATGGTCCATGCACAAAGTTGACACCAGGACAGCTCGAAGAACGTCAGGCCCAGGACACAGGGTGGTGTGTGGGATTCTGGGGAGACTCTGTACTCACTCAATAGGCTTCCCTCTGATCTCAGACATGATGGAACTTTCTCCTCCAAGGTACTCATAGCACAGGCTCAGGAAATTATAGATGACCAAGGCTGTGGAGAGTACCCAGAGGAAACCACACAAATCAACAGACGGGTCATAGACGGTGGACTTCTGAACAGCAATGAAAGTGATCTGACCACAGCCACATGCGCCAGCAGACATGAGCCTCGTGGATATAATGTTTTGCAAAAGCAGCTGGTCAAAAGAAACCACCCAGTAATATTCCATTTACAAGTTAAAAGCAGGCAAAGCTAAGTTATATTGCTTAAATTACATTACTATGTATACTGCAGACATACACGCATGGTAACACCATAAAGAAAAGCAAGAAGTGATTACCACAAAATTTGGGACTGTGTGGGGAGGTGGGGGAGGGTGTGGTCAGGATGAACACATGGGGGCTTCGGACAGCTGGCGTGGGCAGGCTCCTGTGGTGGTTAAACGGATACTGGCTTTATAATTATTTATTAAATAGTGCATATGTGTTTTATGCTCTTTTCTGCTTGTGTGCTATAGACCCCAATTTTAAAACAAAACAATACCAAAACATTCTCCAGTGGGATCTCGGGAGAAATTCTAAGCAAGAAGGAGGTAGTGGAAACTTCATCCATTCGACAACCTGTAGTGCTATATATACCAAAACATGAACAGGGCACAAAATTGAGTGGAAATGACTTGGGAAGCTCGGGCAGCTTATTCTGAACCAGCACACAGCTCAACATCACTGCAAAGACACCAACCCGACTTGCACCAGTGAGCGATGGCCTGGCAGAGGCATGTTGCAGATGGTATGCTATAAACACTGCACTACGCTGTGCCCAGCCGCCTGCTCAGGGGGTTTTGCAGAATCAGCAAAATGAAGGTTGCCGCCTTGCGGGACCCTAGAAGCAGGAAAGAGAGTGGAGGAGGAAGGGGCGCTAGAGGGAGAAGAGGGGCTGAGAGCATGGAGGCATGGAGGAGACGCGTCAGTGAAGGGCGGAGGCCAGGAGGATGGGGTTAAGCAGGCCCATGGGGCTGCAGTTGCCCTGCATCCTGCCCAAGGCCTTCAGGGCTCCTTGGGTTGCTACAGGAGCAACCCCTTGGCTAGTCTGGTCCCAGCCCAGCCCCCTAACACTTTATATCCCAGCAACACTAAATGCAGCTGTTTCCTCAGGGCAGACTATTGGACCCTTCCACGCTTCTGCCTTTGCTGATCCCATGAGAATGCTGCTAAAAACCTGTTGCCCTTAAGTCAATTCCGACTCACAGTAACCCTACAGGACAGAGTAGAACAGCCCCACAGGGTTTCCAAGGAATGGCTGGTGGATTCAAACTGCTTACCTTTTGGTTAGCAGCCGAACTCTTAACCACTGTGTCACCAAGGCTCCTGAGAACTGCTAAGACCCTTCAAACCCAGCCCAGACACCACCCACTCTGCGAAGTCTCCGGTGACCATCTCATCCACAGAACATCCTCATTTGCAGCTACTTCCCAGCACTCGCCCCCTGCAGGAGAATTACCACTGGCCTCATTAGACTGTGACCCCTGATGCACAGCTCACTTCTCACTCACCCTTTTTCCCCAGAACGCAGGCTCAATGCCTGGCACACAACAGGCACTCAGCAAACACAAACTGCCTTGAACTAAAGCACATAAAGCCCTGATGATGCATTTTTAGGCAAAAGTTGGCCTTTAGCAATTCAGAAAGACTATATGTGGGGTGCTTTATACACTCACAGTTGCTCTAATCCATCAGGGCTCACAGCTCCTGCTGAGGTAGGTGGCCCCAGGTAGTGCCCTGCAAAAACACGACCCATAGCACTTACCACACAGACACAGGCTCTCTGCCACTGGCTAGCTTGGCCTCAGTTTCCTCATTTGTTAAACGAGGGTAACAAGAGTTCCTGCCTTAGTGGGCGGTTGGGAGGTTTCAGTGAGCGTGCAAAGTGCTCAGAGGAGAGACTGGTGCTCAGCGGCACTCTCTATTGGCTGTCAGGGCTGTTGCCTGCCTGTCTGCCTTCCTCAGAGGCCGTACATCCCTTGGGAGACAGAAGACTGTGTACTGCCTGCCTGGTATGGAGGCAGCTCATGATGTGTTTGATGACTGCAGGAATCTCCACTGGCCTCCAGGTTAAACTTCACGGACTAGAACTTTAGAACATCGGCTGGGGTGTGTGTGTGTCACAGCCTACTAATAACCTTTGTCCAAAAACTGCACAAGGGCAACAGGTCCCTGGGTGGTGCAAATGGTTCCCACTCGACTGCTAATCAAAAGGCTGGTGCTTTAAACCACCCAGCAGCACCACAGGAGAAAGGCCTGGTGATCTGCTTCCATTAAGATTACAGCCAAGAAAACCCTATGGGGCAGTCCTACCACAGATTCACCACAAGTTGGAATTGACTCAATTACAGCTAACAACAACAACAAACAGAAGGGCAAGCAGAATACACAAGCCGAGTGTAGCTGTATTGTGGGAGATAGTATTTTCCAAAGATGGCCACACCCATAAAGACCCCATTTCACAAGCTCTTTGTACAATGTGGTGTTGACACTCCTCCAGTGAAGGGTAGGGTCTCTTTCCCTTTTTGCATCTGGGTGGGCCTGTGACAACTTCGAAGTAATGCTTCATGACATCTGAGGTTGGGGTTAAAAAAGGCAATACAGCTTTTACCTTTCTTCTGGTTCTTTCTCTCTTGGGCTGTTCACCCTTGGACACAGCAACCATGCTGTGAGGAAGCCCAAGTTAGCCCAGGTGGAGAGACCACACGGGGAGGAACTGAGGCCCCCAGCCTGCAGCCAGCCTCAACCGCCAGACATGGCAGTGAATGAGCCTTCACATGTTTCCCACCCCCAGCCTTGGATTCTCCAGCTGAGGCCCAGACCTCCTGGAGCAGAGACAAACCATCCCCAATGTGCCCTGTCCAAATTCCTGGCCTGTAGTATCCATGAACAAAATAAATGTTTTTCTTACATTGCTATAAACCAAAAAAAAACCGATTGCCATGAAGTTGATCCCAACTCAGAGCAACGCCATAGGACCGAATAGAACTGCTCCATAGGGTTTCCAAGGCTGTAATCTTTACAGGAGTAGATCGCCACATCTTTCTCCTACAGAGCGGCTGGTGGGTTCAAACCACCGTCCTTTCAGTTAGCAGCCAAGTCCTTAACCACTGCGCCACCAGGGCTCCTTTACATTGTTATGCTTTGGGGTAATTACTTACTCAGCCATAAAACCCATTGCCGTTGAGTCGATTCCCACTCATAGTGACCCTAGTAAGTGGAATATGTATAAGACCATCACAGAAGTTTCTAGAATGTGCCATGACCTCTCACGCCTCCACGCAGTGGGACATTTTGTTTCCTCTGCCGGGACAGCCTGGCTAACTCCCAGAGTCAGAATCAGCTGAGATGTCCCTGCCTCCTTGGTCCCTGCCACCACACTCCCCACAATCCTCATCCCTCTGTCTATCTGCCTGATTCTTCCATAGGGTGTGAGTAAGGGGTCATGGAACCTGGAGACAGACGCCTGGGTGTGGATCGCAGCTCCACGCCATGAGCTGTGTGACCTTGGGCAAGAGTCTGAAGCAATCTGTGCCTCTCAGTTTCCTCATCAACAAACTGGGGGTAACAACAGCTCCTTGCTGCTGGGGTTGCTGAGAAGGTGGGGGAGCGAGTGTGGAAGGCCTTAGGCGAGGCTGAGCTCACTGTGAGCAGTCTGTAGTGTGTTACCTATTGTTTTTCCAGGCTGTAAGCTCCTTGCAAGTAAGGACTGAGTCCTACTCTCAACAACTATTGGAGGGTCTGACACTTATGCACACTCGATTCACACTGAAGGACGGAACCGAGTGGACGCTTACACACACTTAATCTAACTGAAGGAGCGAACGGAGTGGACACTTACACACTCGATCCACACTGAAGGCGTGAACCGAGTGGACACTTACTCAATCCACACTGAAGGCGTGAACCAAGTGAACACACACACACTCGATCCACACTGAAGGAGTGAACCTAGTGGACATACACACACTCGATCCACACTGAAGGAGTGAACTTAGTGGATACACACACACTCGACCCACACTGAAGGAGTGAACTTAGTGAACACACACATACTCGATGCACACTGAAGGAGGGAAAAGAATGGACACTTACACACTTGATCCAACTGAAGGAATGAACCTAGTGGACACTTACACACACTCAATCCACACTGAGTGTGTGAACCGAATAGACACTTACACACTCAATCCACACTGAAGGAGTGAACAGACAGGTATGGGCTGTGAACACCAAGATCTTCATTCCAGGTGAGGCTGCTATGATGACCAGGTGCAGAGTGGCGAGACAGGTGGGTGCCACCTCTGCTCTGTCTGACCACTTAAGAGGTTTCCCCTCTCATGGGCTGGTCAGCTGCACCTTTGCCAAGGTGACCAGCCTTCGAGTCATCAAAAACAAAACCCTCAACAAAGACACAAGGAAAGGAGTGGCCCAAGAGACAGAAAGGGCCACATAAACCAGAGACTTCATCAGCCTGAGACCAAAAGAACAAGATGGTGCCCGGCTACCACCAATGACCGCCCTGACAAGGAACACAACAGAGAGTCCCAGATGGAGCAGGAGAAAGGTGGGGTGCAGAACTCAAATTCTAGCAAGAAGACCAGACTTAATTGTCTGACTGAGACTAGAGGGACCCCGGACAGCATGACCCCTGGATTCTCTATCAGCCCAGAACTAAAAAAATTTCCAAGGTCAACTCTTCAGACAGGGATTGAACTGGACTGTGGGACATAAAGTGATACTCGTGAGGAGTGTGCCTCTTAGCTCAAGTAGATATAAGAGACTAAACGGGCAGCTTCTGTCCAGAGGTGAGATGGGAAGGCAGAAAGGGTCAGGGGCTGGTTGCATGGACATGGGGAATCAGGGGTGGAAAGGAGTAGTGTACTGTCGCAGTATGAGGAGAGCAATTAGACTCACATAACAATGTATGCATAAATTTTTGTATGGGAGACTAACCTGAAATGTAAACTTCATTTAAACTACAACAATAAACAAATTAAAAAAAAAAAA